TGATGGGATAATAGATTTATAATTGTGAGTTACTGCTTTTAGACAAATATATTGGTATAGATTCTTGTATATTGATACAAAGTTAAATTATATTGACTATTGTATGCATGCATGTTTCTATGTCTGTTAAAACATTTTTATGTATTGACATATATTGTATTGATATATATATTGTATATATTTACCATATTGCAGTGTACATTTCTACCTCTGATTAAGATACTTATATAATATTTGTGTATTGATATATATTTACCTACTGCAATGTATATTTGTACATTGTTTATATTTGGAGGTCATTGTCCTCATTTGTTTCACAGTCGTTTATTGTCTTAGTCTTTAAGTTAGATAGATATTGAGAATTATATAGACTAATTGTCATCTAAGTTTGTCATTTATAATTAGACTTATCAGGTTCTTTAGATATATAGAGATTATACTCAGTATAGATAGATAATCTTCAACCTCTTCAAAGAGCTGTAGAAAATGGCCTTTAATCTAACTCAGAGTTTCGTGACAGTGAGACACAATTGCTCCTGGCAACACCACTCTATTCCCGAGAGAATGTTGAGCACCAAAAACACTCCACCTGGAGCCTTTCTATTTGGCAGAACTGGCCTTTGGGCAAAGAAATGCCCATGCCTCAACCACTGACACAGATACAGAGCGTGCATCAATGGATAAAACAGGACTGTCATATCCTGCCAAGACAGGGTAAGATAGTTTTGAAAAGTTCCTTGCCTTTAATAATGGTATGTCAGTTATGTTAGGCCTTAGCCAAAATTGGTTGACTCAACATTGCAAACGAAACTTTGGGTGATTGCCCAGGAAGTCAGTTGTCTCTGTCAATTGTTGCACATTTTGGATATATCCCGTTTGTTGAGTAGTGTTTATTCCCTTCTCAGATCTTTGACTGAGTTGAAGATTATATAATTGTAGTTACTCTTTACATTATTTGGACTCCTTGAGATAGAATGTTTAGCAAAGCTTTTGTTCTCAATATTGTTTGTTATATTTATTATTTGTTGTTATTGTATGTAGTTGTATTTGGTTTAGTTCTGTCTTATTTAGACAAAAAGGGGAGATGTAGGGATAAGTCCCGCCCCTTAGGGGGCGTGTTCGCCTCGGGCTAATGTCTGCCTATAAATTTGGCGAGCAAGCTCCGAGCGCTCGCTTCTGCTTTCCTGGTCTCCGCGGGAACGGTGGTTCTGTAAGTCTATTTCTACATTAAAGATATATATATATTTTTACTCTCTGTCTGCATTCGTTTACGCCGCTACATGAGCTGCCATGTGGGTGCTGGGAATTGAACCCGGATCCTCTGGGAGAGCAGTCAGTACTCTTAAGCACTGAGCCATCTCTCCAGCCCCAACTCTCCCACTCTTTACACAGTGATTGTCCAGACATGAATCTCTGTCTTCTCTGATGAGTGAGACACTGATCTATGGGGATAGCCCAATGTCATTCAGAGTCATTTTATTGTTGTGTTCAGCAGAACAAACCCTTCCTTTCCTAAGTGTTCCTCCCTCTAAATGCTTGTAGTTGAATAAGCGCTAACTTTGCTTACCATATATCATAATGGCCGTGTCATAAAATCAGATAGCACTGGATGCTCATATCATAATGCTGGACCATCCTGAAGCTCTTTCCCGCAGTGTAGTCAAGGCTTTACCTGACAGGGAGGGAACTGGGGCTGCTGGGAGTGGTGCTGGCCCATATGTTTTTCAAATATTTACAGCTTGAACTTTCTCGTCTCAAGCTAAAAGTTTGTCCCCTAAGTACTTCAGTTGTATCACATAAATTTTGGTATGCTAGGTTTTTAAAATTCATTTTAGTGTGTTCTCCAATTTCTCTTTGATTTTTTTCTTTGATTTTTATTTCCACAAAATGCAGTGCATAAGTTTACACAAATTTGTGGATTTCACAAGTTTCTTTCTCTTACTAATTTCATTTTGCTTCATATTCTTTCAGTTTTTTCTTTTGTGGTCTAGGGATAAAAGTCTAGGACCTCAGCATGGTCAGCCCTTAGTCCTCTAAAACCTACTGGGCTCTGCCGTCTGGACTATGATATTGGTGTGTCTTGGAGAATGTTCTTGTAAACTTCAGGAAAATGTATTCTGTGCTAGGTGTGGCAGTGCATGGCTAGTGCTGGGACTTAGGAGGATGGGGTTAGGAGGGCCAGAATGCAATATCAGTCATGGTTACACAGTGTAAACTGAAGTTCCTTGAGAAAAGAAAAGCTACGTCTGTGCCGGGCAGTGGCGCACGTCTTTAATCCCAGCACTCAGGAGGCAGAGGCAGGCAGATCTCTGTGAGTTCGAGGCCAGCCTGGTCTACAAGAGCTAGTTCCAGGACAGGTCCAAAGCTACAGAGAAACCCTGTCTTGAAGAGAGAGAGACAGAGACAGAGAGAGAGAGAGAGAGAGAGAGAGAGAGAGAGAGAGAGAGAGAGAGAGAGAGAGAGAGAGCCACTTGGTGAAAGGAGGAACACACACACATAAATAAAAAAATATGTTTGTGTGTGTAGTATGCTGTTAAAATGTGCATTCCGGTTCTCCGACTGGGAGCAGCTCTCTTACCTCAGCTCTCCTCTTCTGAAAGCACGCCTGTTCCAAGTTCATTCCCACCAGCTCCCTGGTGAGGTTCGCCTCTTAGCTACTGTGCCCACTGCTGCCTTCAGTGGCACTGAACTGACCAGACCCTGTGACGAATGAGAACCTTGGCAGCTTGGCGGTCCCACATCCCTTGACCTCATTTGTCTGTAGCTGAAGCTTCCAAACCAAAGCTCTTTCAAAGGACTTCCATACAGCAGCCAAGTCCCATGGGGGCTGGAACACCCACAGCTCGGTGGGTGGCTGGCTCTGGGGCTGGCATCGGGTCTGTGTTTGCGAGCTTTCTCCCTGCTTATCCTGGGAACCCTTTTCTGAAACAACAGCTTTTGGTTGCGTTTGTTTTCTCTGTCACTTAAAGAAGTAAAAAGTAGGAAACATCTCAAGCTCAACAGGTAACAGCTGGGAAATTCTCAAACACAGCAGGCCAAAGCAGCCCGGTGAAGAAACAAAAGCTTTCTTTCAGGGTGAGGAAGGACAGCATACAGCAAGCACACAGAGCGAAACAGACGGGGAAAGCAAAGGTCCGCTTCTCCTTGTCGGCTTTTGGTTGTTGCTTATGTCTTCCTCCTCTAATTTAGGGTTGGTCAGTTTGAAGACAGGATGGCTGATTGGCCCACAACTATTGTGTAACATGTCCTGATCTGGCCTTGACTTTGTTGAGCTGGTCAGTCAGCAGGGACCCTACTGGCAGAAGAAGCCTACAAGGCCTTTAAGTCAGAAAGCTTTTATCTCTGGTTAGCAGGGTGAGAAGGAAGACACTCATGCTAGAAGGTGGAGAAGCAAACTTCTGTCCTGGAAGTTCACCATCATTTTCATCTTGTCATGGCATCTCTACCTATCTGTCTGCCTGTCCGGAAGTCTTAGTCCCTCAGTTCTCTGAGTCTGGATTTTGCCCTCTCAGAAGTGATGGCGCCCTTTTGCTGTTTGGTGCCCTTTCTCATTCTCTTTGCCTTGCAAAGCAAAAGTAGCCATATCCTCTTCTACTTGCCCTAGTTCGACCTTTCATGTCTCCTCTGTCCTGTGTGTGCTGAAGAACCAGCCTGCCTCCATCTTGGCCTTGAAAGCCATCTTATAGTAAAGACAAACTAGGCCCATTCCTGTTTATGATTAAATCTGTTTCTCAAGGATTAGGCTATGCCCCACCTGTAACCTTAACTACAAATGTAGTCTGTACTGCCCATTCCAGGAAGCAGCAACCATGTCTTTGTTTCCAAGTTATTTATAAGCAACCCTACCTTTGTTTCAAAAGGTTGTTATGATCACCTGTTCTTCTGATTACTTTATGCCAACCCTGCAATCACGTATGTTTCAGGAGGTTGTTATGACTAACTTGTTATGCTTCTGTTCTGCTCCTGTGACCCCACCTATCTTCTCCATTTGCAAACCCCTAGCCCTGAACCAAAAATCCTTGTCTGCCTCACATGCAATGCTCCCAAATCTCACCTTAGGGGAGGCAGCCCGTGCTCATGAATAAAAAAGCATGTTTTAATTAATTGCTTGTTTTAGTTAAATTGCCCATGCTGATTTGGGGGTCAGTGGTTTTTCTCCTCCCATCTTTGGGATTAACAGTTCCTTTACCTGTACCTTCTCAGGAAGTCTGGGGAAAGTAGTTGTTTCGGGGTTTGAGAGAGAAGACAAATATTGTATTAATAAGACAAAAATATATTCGACTGCTATCGGTGGCAATGTTCTATACAAGTGTTAAAATGCTGTTTGGAAATGTAGTTTTTTGTTTTTTTTTTTTTTTTTTTTTTTTTGGTTTTTTCGAGACAGGGTTTCTCTGTGGTTTTGGAGCCTGTCCTGGAACTAGCTCTTGTAGACCAGGCTGGTCTCGAACTCACAGAGATCCGCCTGCCTCTGCCTCCCGAGCGCTGGGATTAAAGGCGTGCGCCACCACCGCCCGGCTTGGAAATGTAGTTTTAATTTTAAAAAATTACATTTATTTATTGCATGTGAATGCACATACCTGTTCATGCCATGACGCATGTGGAGGGGACAGGGAAAACTGCAGGAGTCGGTTCTCGAGTTCCATCACGTGGACCTTAGGGACCAAACTCAGGTCAAGCATGGTGGCAATTGATTTTATTCATTGAACCTCTAAAGGGCCCTCAACTGTAGATCCTCTCTTTCCTCTCCCTTTCCTCCTCCCTTCAGTTCTCCCTATTTCTCTCTCCCTCTTTTTTTCGGCTATGCTCCCTAAGTCCTCGGCTCCAGGTTCAAATTTAATTATCAGGATTTACTGCGGTAAGTGACGTCATCTATCACTAACAGAATTTTCGACTGTTCTGGTCTTGCTGCCAGGTCAGCAGAAAACGAATCTGCGTTCCCAGAATTGGTTTTTGGCTCGTTCTGCCTGGCGACGTCTGCCGAGTAATTGGGCTGCCTGGGACCCACGTGACCCAAACGATGATGGCGGGCGCGGCAGAAGACTTGCGAGAGCTCTTCGGAGCTGCTGTTCGAGCGGCTCTAGATGCTTGGCCTGCTTTGCAGGTGAGTGGGGCCACAGCGGGGGGTCACGATCAGGGCTGCGGCAGAACAGGAGCTGGCCGGGCGAGGCGCCAGAGCCTCGGCTGGGCGGCGTAGGCGGCAGCCTCCCAGGCCAGGGCAGACCACGCCACTCCGGTTTCCATGCCGTCATGGTTGGCTTGGGCCTGTGTTCACAGATCGCTGTGGAGAATGGCTTCGGGGGCGTGCACAGCCAGGAGAAGGCCGAGTGGCTGGGGGGTGCAATGGAGGATTACTTCATCGCCAATGGTGAGTGAGTGAGACGTTGCTGTCTGTCTGTCTGTCTGTCGGGGTTTGGAGCGGTGAGGCTTTGTCCTAGAGAGCCCGCGCTTTCTCATGTCGAATGAATGGTGACTTTGGAATCAGAATCGTGCGTTTTGAGAGTGCTTTACAGGCAATGACACTGAATAGTGCTATGTTCCCGGACAACACATTTTACCTTCCAGAAGGTTCCAGAGTTCCTAAAATGGTTATGAAAATATCCGACTGATAGAAATGTGCGATGTTATGTGTCCCACCCCTATTGTGTAACTTAAGATTGCTGATCAGGGGAGGGGAGAGTGGCTCCATGGGCAAAGATCGGCAAGCATAATGATCCGAATTTGATAGATGGGACCGATGGAAAGAGAACTGAGTCACTTAAGATGGCTTCCTCTCCACAAGAAACACCGTCATGAAATTGTGTGAGGCGTGTAGCCCACCGGTAGGGCACTTTCTTAGCATGTGCATGTTTCTGGGCTCTGTCCCTAGCACCACCAAAACTAAAAAGCAGTACCTCTGATAAAATAAAAGGCAGCCAGGCCATGTGGCGCAGTCCTTTAATTTCAGTTCCTCCTGCGGCGAAAGGACCCCAGTTCCATACTAGCCTGATCCACGACCTCGTAATAAAAAATAAACAGTTGGGTATCTAGCTCTATGGAGTGCTTACCCACTACTTCCTTATGAGACTCTAGGTCCAATCCCCCACTACTACGAATGAATGAATAAATGAATGAAAGAAGCAAATACAGTAGTGTTAAATTCACATCCAAAGCTTAGCATGTGGGCCATGTTTGTAATTCTAGCACTAGGCAGACTGAGGTAGGAGAACTGCTCTGAGTTTGAAGTCGGCCTTGGCTACATAACCGGAACTTGTCTTTAAAAGAAGGGGCTGGAGGAATGGCTCAGCCGTTAAAGGCTAGGCTCACAACCAAAAATATAAAAGAAGGGGCTGGAGAGATGCTTAGCTTCCTGCTCTTCCAGAGGACATGAATTAGGTTTCTAGCACCCATGTCTGGTAGCTTACAACCACCTGTAACTCCAGAGAATCCAAAGTCATCTTCATCTGCACACATGTGCATATACACATAATTAACAAGTAAGTAAAACACAACTGGAAAGATGGCTCAGCATTTAAGAGCATTTGTTCTTACAGAGGACCTGAGTTCAGTTCCCAGTACCCACATGGTGACTCATAACTGTAATTCCAGTTCCAGGGGATCTGACACCATCTTGTGTCCTCTGTGGGCACCAGACACATACATAGTGAGTGCACAAGGCATGCATGCAAGAAAAACATCATATATATATATATATATATATATATATATATATATATATATATATATATATGAAAAAAATTCTCATCCAAAATCTTGGTGTGTCATAAGAATTAAGCATTTAAGCTGGGCAGTGGTGGTGCACGCCTTTAATCCCAGCAGAGACAAAGCAGATCTGTGAGTTCAAGGCCAGCCTGGTCTACAAGAGCTAGTTCTAGGACAGGCTCCAAAGCTACAGAGAAACCCTGTCTCCAAAACAAAAAAGAATTAAACATTCAACACATTTTTAGAATTAAATTTTTACAATCTGGACTTTTAAAGGTCTTAATGGGCACTTCTTGAGTCTCGCAACATTCCAAGTGCCTATACTTGGTAACTCCATATGGCTACTTCTACAGCAAAGATCTACAGCCTTCGTTTTGCCTTAGTGGGGAATAAGAACAAGAGGACCTAGTAGAAGTATTATATGCTGTAGTTTTTATAAAACCCTCCATTAATAGCCTAGTTTTGAGGGAGTGTATCTAGTGGGTGGTTTCAGATAAGCAAGTGGATAGTTAAAAGTACTGGATGGTAAGCGTTGCGATAAGAGGTGCTCAGAATTCACAAGTTATCTGAGCCTGAGGAGAAGCCTCTTTTGTTTGTTTTTTGAGACAGGGTTTCTCTGTGTGGCCCTGGCTGTCCTTGAATTCAGTCTGTAGACCAGGCTGGCAGCCCCGTTTTTTGTGGGTTTTTTTTTTTTTTGCCTTCGTAAGAGTAGTGATTAGGGGTGGGTATTAATAAAAAGGGGTGAACTAGGTAAGGACATAATGCACACTCAAAGAAGTTGAGATAGCATTGTTTTCTGAAAGGTCCCCTGTATTGTAGTAAGGGAATGGAAGAGTGGTAGAGCATGCGTGTGCATTTACAAAGACACCCTAACCCTAAAGGATAAGAGATGGGAGGCCTTATGTGCCTTGACTGTAGCCTTTAAACCAGTGTTGGTACAATTCAAGCTATAGACCTGTCCAGTTAGATGTCCAATGCAGAAAGTTTCACCGGTCAAATTATACACGCTTTTTCCAAGCTGATGTTTTTCTTATTGTTGTTAATAGTAGTAGTAGTAATTGAGAAGAGTATCTGCTTTTGTACTCCAGACTGTTTTGGAATTAATGTTCCTCCTGCTTTGTTTTCCTGAGTGCAGAGATTACAAGGTGTGAGCTTGATCCTGGCTTTGTTTTTCATGAAATCCTCGTTAAAACTCAGCAAAATTGAGCTGGGGTGTGGCTCAGTTGCTAGAGTACTTGCCAGACATATAAGAGACCCTGGTTTTAATCCCCAGAGCCGCATTAATCAGGCATCGTGGTTCATGCTTATAATAGCATTAAGGAGGTGAAAGGGGGGGGGATCGCCAATCACCAGGAGTTCTAGGTTAGCCTTGGACTGCATAGTTTGATGCTAGCCTGGGCCTACATGATACCTGTAGCAAAAACAAAACAACCCCTTAGGGCTGGAGAGATGGCTCAGCGGTTAAGAGCATTGCCTGCTCTTCCAAAAGTCCTGAGTTCAATTCCCAGCAACCACATGGTGGCTCACAACCATCTGTAACGAGATCTGGTGCCCTCTTCTGGCCTGCAGGCATATATGCAGACAGAATACTGTATACTAAATAAATAAATGAATGAATGAAAAAAAAAGGAAAAAACAACCCCTTAAACTCAGTAGAATATTTATCAAAGGTGAACTTCACAATTGGTAATAAAATTCCTGAGCAGGTTCTAAGGTAAGTAATAGGATGGTGTTTGCTAGCTAGAAAATTCAGAAAGTAGGTAGTGTAGAATATGAGAAGGAAACACTCATGAGAAGGCTGTTTTGGTCTAGAAAAGAAGGTCTAAAATAGGGCAGTGGGAGTGGTCAAGAAAAAGGGTACTTGTCCATAGAGCAGGTTGGGGAAAGAGACAGATTTGTGATGAGTGGCAGGGTAGATTAGGAAACTTTCATTAGAGGAACCTTGGAGGATAAGATGCTGGTGTGGAAGGCAGGATAATAAATGTGGCTTTGGATATGGGGACTTGAGGCACCTGTCTAACATCTGGCTAGATAATTAGCCTGAGGGAAGAGAGACATGAACACAGTGTGGAAGAGTTATATCTGGAAGAGAAAGTTAGTCTTTTTCAGAAAAGACAGAGCATGGGCCCGTAAGATAACAGGCCCAGTGAACAGGGCTTAGCTGGAGTCACGAAGTTTAAAGATGATTATTACAGTTATGATGATTTCATTTTTAAAAGTAGCACATCCAGGTGAGGGTGTAGTTCTGTGGTTGAGTGTTTGCTCAGCAGGTGCCGGACCCTGAGGTTGAGCCCCAGCACTGAAACAAACAAACAAAACAATCAAGTACCGAGTTTTTTCTTAGCTAGCATCCTTGAGTCTCTGGACTCCTGTATTCATGGAGCCCCAGCTGTGAAGGGTCTCTATACTTCAAATACTTCAACTCTGAAGTGATGCAAATTATTATTAGGGTCTCCTCTCCCTTGAGCCAAGCCAAGCTTGTGTTGGAGGAGTCCTCCTAACAGACCCCTAGGGGGTCCCATTTGCCTCTCTTTAGAACTGAGAAATTGGAGGCTCAAGGCTATTTCAAGGTCACCTAAGGCTGAGGTTGGTTAGGACAGGCAAGGTGAAAAGAGGGTGTTTTAGTGAATAAGGGCTCACCATACCTTTACCTAGGAACCAGGTATAGCAGGCAGGTATGGAAGAATAGAGGGCAGCACTGATGAAGTTGGTCTTTGACTAAAGGGGCCTATCCTTTCCTGTTTAGATGACTTAGAGCTGGAAGAGGTGGAAGATTTCCTTGGGGAGCTGATGACCACTGAGTTTGATACAGTTGTGGAAGATGGGAGCTTGCCCCAGGTGAGCATATGAAGACAGCCGTCAACCCCCTGCCTGCTCGCTCTTCTGTCTGTTTGGGACAAGATTCTTAGTTGTGACCATTCTTTTCTTGAGGCATAGACAAGATTCCCTATTGCATTTTTAAATGTTACCTTTATTTCTCTTTAGATCATTCTCAACCAGGTATTTTCCCCACATGCCACAAGCAGGGCCAGATCAAATTCCATTCCTATTCTGATTAACACTGCTCACCCTGGTGAGATTATCATTCATTTGCATCTTCTCTCCCTTTTTCTTTTTTTGAGACAGTGTTTTACTCTCTAGCTATGTAGCCCAGGCCAACCTCAAATTCATAGCAGTCATCCTGCTTCAGCCTCCCAAGTACTGGGATTATAGGTGTGAAATTCTAGTACCTTCTCTTCCGGGAGGCCCTCACATCTTCACCCAAGCCCTTGATTTGTGGTTGCTCCACTGGACTTCGTTGTTGCTTTATTTTTTGAGACAGGGTTTTACTATGTTGCCCTGGCTGGCCTGGAACTTTCTATGTAGACCAGTCTGGCCTTGACCTCAAAGAACTTGTCTCTGCGCTCTGAGTGCTGGGATTAGACACATACGCCACCACTCTGAGCTGTTTAGTTTGACAGTGTCTACCTCACACTCACAATTTTGCCTCAGAGGCCTCCCCATTACATGCATTCACCACTCTGCCTAGCTGCCTGGATGAACTTCTTAGGGGATTTTTTTTCTGGAAAATTCCAACCCCCTCTCTACTCTGTTGTAAGCAGAGGCTGGTTTTATAGTAGATTATCTGAAAGCTCCAAACTGATTGGATGTTTCCTTGGCAGGTGAGTCAGCAGCTACAGACCATCTTCCACCACTTCCAGAATGGTGATGTAGCTGCTCTGCTGGAGCTGACCTCTGAGATCGACGAAAAGAGGTGCACAGTCACTGCTACCTCAGGACAGACAGCCAGAGAAACTGATGTGGATGAAGATGAAGTAGACAGCGTGGAAGAAATGGAGGTAAAAGAGGTGCCTGTGTGTGGTTGCAAATGTTAAATGCTAAATTTTTGGAAGAGAACTAGATTCCCAGGGAAGTGGCGATAGTTATAGCTACTAGTGGTGTTATTATCAAGAAAGAGAGTTCACATAGACGTGGGAGAGTTGGGAGCAGAGCATGGGTAATTACTTAGTGCTCTCATATTTTCCTTCTAGGTGACAGCTACAAATGATGGGGCCATGATGGATGGGATCTGCCCCCAGCCTCAACCGCCTGAGCCAGACTCCCAGACTATTAAGGAAGAGGATATAGTGGAAGACGGTTGGACCATTGTCCGGAGAAAGAAATGAGTAGGGCAGTAAATGGCTTGGGTATTGTGAGAGAGTTATAGGGGCTGTTTTGGAGGGTTATACACCTCTATCCTGATAACCATATTCCTACCTTGTTCCCCTGTCCTTCCCTCCAGGGGAAGAAAAGCCTTGATTGTGTTGATGGGACCTATTCCAGTTCCTTGAACCTTAAGGTACCATATGAGAGATAAGACCAGATTTCCCAGCATAGTGCCTCGTAGGTGCTGTGAATGTCAAGATGGGTGATGGCTATGGCTGTGGTTGGAGTGGAAGCCAGACTTGTGGACAGTAGGCAGGTACATTTGTGGAAAGGACGAGAATCCACAGTGGGAGGCTGGCTGGATTGGGAATGGTGAGATAAACATGGTTGGAAGAGTAAGTGTGGCACCTCCCCAATATCCCCACCCCAGCCTCCCATGGAGCAATTCTTTACCCTGCCCAGAACTCGCATCCTCCTGTGAATGCTCCCACCCTGAATACTTTTGAGTTTGGAGGGCTTGACTAAGTGGTGAACTTGAGAAAGTTGGGCTGTTTTAAGTCCAGGGATGAGGCTTAAGACCTTAATAACACCTTCTTGTTTAATCCATGACTTAACCTTGGAATCGGCCTTCTGAGAGCTGAGCTTCAGAGTTCAGTGAAAGAATAGTTTTTGCACCCACCCCACCCCCAGTAACCTTGGACTTTGGACAAACAGAAGGACCATAGCAGTGCTCTGAAAGTTACTGTAAGCCTGAAATAAACTGTATTTTTCTTTAAAAAACAGTATCCATTGTCCTCCCCCCTCCCATTCCCGTCCTGCCCAGTGGCCCTGCCATGGGTCTGGACGATAAAATACTGGATTGCTTTGGGGCTAGGTAGAAGCTATAAGCCATGGGAAAGGCAGGAAGGGCCTAGTCACCACCCCATGTAAAGTCATACATGTGAAGACACTGGCAGAGGGGACAAGGGTGGGTTGGGGTTCCAGGGTCAGTAGCAGAGCTGGCACTTGAATCCAGGTCTCCTGCCACTGGTACTTTTGGGGGGAACTGGGTGGAAGTAGGATCTGGGGTATTGGGAGGAAACAGCCTAATTCAAGTGAGTCTAGCAATTAGCTCCTGCCCTCCCTGGGGACAGGGATTTAAAAAATTAACATCAATGTAGGAATAGTTGTTTTAAAAGCCCACATTTTGTGAAAAGATGAATTAAAAAACCCAAGACCCAGCATTCGGGATTGAAAGTGCCCGTGATGGGAATTCAAGTATTGACTGCATTGGGAGTGGGCTGGAGCCCCCAATTGAACATGGGCATCTGGAGTGTGGGGCAGGAGTTTCCAGTTCCACCCAAACCCTCTAGGTCTTGTCTCGGGTCTGGGAGGCTTCAGGAGGTTCAGCAGTGGCTCCTGAGGCTGCCGCTGGTGTCTCCTCCATCTCCTTGTCCTCTGACAGTGTGGGCCCTGGGCAGAATGTGTCCCCACGGCCTGCCCTGCCAAGCACCGCCATCCAGCGCCGCTGGAGTTCTTCTGTCTCTGGGCTGAAGTACCAGCTTAGGTGGCTTTGTGTGATCTTGAAGACGTGCCTCCTGTCAGGACGTTCCCCTGCCTCAGGAGGCCCCACCTCAAAGCCAATGAGGGGCAGGCTGCGCTGGGCTTTCACATCCTGGGGAGGAGGGACAGAAATAGTGTCATCCAGGGGCTGGACTGTGCCCTTTGCCCAATGAAACAACTTTGTTTTCTTGTTTCCTCTGCTGAAGACCCTTGCTTTGAAGTGGCTGAACTAGGACTAGAAGGCAGGCTGGTTTCCATATCTGTTTCCTCCCGTGCCCAAACCAACTACTGGTCTTCACTATTATAGACTCAGGTCTATACTATTTCCTTTGTCTGCACATTCTTCTCTAAAGTCAGACCTAGAAGTGCTTGTCTCCCTGTCTGTTTTCTCCACAAAGCTAGACTTCTCACCTTACCCTCATTTTCCCTCCAGACCTTGGCCTCTAAACACTTGTCTCTACATACTCTATCACAAAAGGATAGGGGTTTTGATTTTTCCCTTTGCTAGGCTCACTCTGTCCCTAGAGGACAAAGCACACAAAGGAGGGGCAGTGTGGCTTTGTCAGATGGGTGGGAAAAACTGAAGGAGTGGGATGCACACCTGAGGGGCTCCATAGATGTACAGCACCAAGGGTTCATTCTCGGGAACCACAAACCATGCCTTGTGCCATCCTTTCCCACCCTTCTCCATGTAGTGCAGGAAGCTGCAGATGACGCTGTTCTCAGCAGCCACCGAGGCCTGTTTCTGTGATCAGAGACATGGTACATCAGTGTTGACAGAAGGCTTTGCTCTTGGCTTAATCAGCCCCATAGCATATGGACTATGTCTCAGACAAAGGTAGCAAAGCATATGTAGCAGAAATGATTTAGCCTTTGTCACCCAGGTAAACAATGGCTACTGCCTCTAACAGCTAGTGGAAGGGGGTATGCAGACCTCAGTGGGGGCATGGAAATGCTGGCCAGACACTGTACAGACTAAGTGACATTCACAGCTAACCTTTTCATCTTTCATTATATACTCGTTGCCTGCTCTGAGAAGTCCTTCTAACATCGCGATTAAAGGGATGAGTTGGTGGTTAACATCATCTGTCCCAGAATCCTAACAATAGATGAACTGCAGGACTTGTGAGAAGAGCACAGAGGGTGTTTGAGATCTCAATTAGCATAAACAAAGCATTTAAAATAGTCCTAGTAAAGAGAAAGCTCCCTTATATTTGGGATACCTTGATTTATTTAAAAAACAGTCACCCAAATTGTGTATATTCATGGTCCTAGAAAGATAAGAAACATCAATATTGACAGTGGCATCTTCTGGGTTAAGTAATACATCTTTTTTATGTTGTATTACTCATCCTAGTTCATAATTTAAGAAAAGGCAATTGGGTATTTTTAAAAAAAATCCTATAGACTGAGGCAGAAGAATTGGAAATTCAAAGCCAGCCTAGGTTATGCAGTGAGATTTTTGTTTCAGATAGGACCTAGCAGTGTTTTTCTGGCTGTGCAGCCTAGCCAAATACCCTCTATGGGCTTCAGTTTTTCCTCATATGTAAATGAAGCATGAGTATGGGTTGACTAGTTACTGTGAAGGTTAAATGTGTAGAGTACTTTAATAAAAATTACTTTTAACCCTTATATTCATTTTCCTTGTCTCGAGCCTGGATCACCTGATTAGTGAGTGCACACAGCACCCTGTTGTCTAAGAGATGTTCAGACCTCAAGCAGCTGGGGTACACTTTGGGGATTGTGGTTGGGAACTCTTACCTCTAGGATGGACCTCCTGCGCTGCGGTGTATGCTGGCTACAGGCTGGACTGCTCCCAGGTGCTCCATGCAAGGCCACATAGCAATCAGTGCACACACGGTTGGAACGGTTGTTGTCATAGATGAGGCGGGCCCGAAACTCAGAGCATTTTCCACAGACCACCTGGGGCAGCAAGTGGGCAAGAACAGCCTAATTGCCTTTGGCTTTTCCCTTTTATCAAGTACCACAGCCAACCTGCAGCCTCCTTCTCGGAAGGTACCCAATCAGAAGTGGGCTTTTAGGCTGTCAGCTGCCCCCACCTTAGCTCTGCCCCTGTCTCCCAACACTCACATGCCCACAGGCCTTGCAGTGGTGTCTGCGTTTGGTGATGGAATTGAAGGGCTCCTGGCAGCGCATGCACATGGTGACTTCTTTTTCCCGGATAGGCGTAGGTGCCCTCTTCCCAAGGTCCACGTTCTAGGGGGAGGGTTAGGTCCCGGGTCAGAGACAGCTCCTCAGCCCAGGTCAGCCACTGCTCCATGGCTTGAACCGTCACAGGGTTGGGGAGCACACATATATACGGAAGGTCTGGCTCTGCCCCACCACACTTACTGGAGGCAAGTCATTTTACTTTCTGGGGTACAGTCTCTGCAGCCCTACCAACAGAAGACTGCTTTTAGGGGCCTGCAATATCTCTCTCTAGTCCTTATTTTCTGAGAAGAAAAGATAATCTCAAGGGAAGGTAGAACATGGAGCCTCAAAGGGATCCCAGTACTGGGGGGGAGGGGGGATAGTAGGGCTCTTACTGGAGAGTTAGGGGGAGTATCTTCATCATCCCTGTTTGTTGAGTTCAACAGTTTGAAAGTCTCCAGGGTCTGTTCATGCTTCAAGAGGGTAGAGTTGATAGCCTGGTGAAGAGGCGTGAGGAATGAGAGGTCAGATCACGCCGCAGACACCCATCTCCACCCTCACCACACCTTCCTAGGTATGCCTTAGTTCTAGACCCAGCTCTGCCCAACATACTCATATGAGTGAGAAAATCCCTCCCTAAATCCAGGTCTACATCTGGTAATTATAAGATGTGACAGGGGAGTGGTGGCTGGAAAACTCAGACGGCCTTCCTGGCTGCTGCTTAGGTGCAAGCTTTTATAAAGCCTGATGCAGAGGAGCTGGCTTTTTTTTAAAGAATGTCTCTATATGACCTCAGGACTTTAGCTGTCTGTCTGAAAGAGTGTGCTAATAGCATCTGCTGTCCAGGCCCATCTGGTTAGGTAGTTTGAAAGAAAAGTCTAACAGCCCCTAAGGGGTTATTAATACCCTTCCATACCCCTCCCACAAAACCCTGGGTGTTACCTGGACCCAGTCTTTCTTCTCCTCTTCAGTCCTTGTAGGGGAGAAAAGAAAGGCATTGGGTTAGGCAGGTCAACAAAAGGCAACTGGGATGGTGTTTTTTTTTTTTTTTTTTTTTTTCTTTTTGGTTTTTCGAGACAGGGTTTCTCTGTGGTTTTGGAGCCTGTCCTGGAACTAGCTCTTGTAGACCAGGCTGGTCTCGAAATTTTTGAAATCAGATATGGTGATACTTCAAATACTGACCCAGCTCCTAGGTATATACATGAAAGATTCTAGTCAGCATACCACAGAGACTACATGCCCATCTATGTTTATTACAGCACTATTCACAACAGCCATTATGAAATCAGCCCTGGGTTGTGTCAACTGACTAGATAAGAAAGTGTGTGTGTGTGTGTGTGTGTGTGTGTATTATGGAGTTTTTATTCCATAAGGAATAAAATTATGTAATTTGCCAGAAAATGGATGCAAATGCAGATCATTATATTAAGTGGACACATACTGCTTTTGACTTTTAAGAATTATGGTGGAATTCGTACATGAAGTGTATGAAGACGAAGTTCATATTTGTTAGTCCCACTTACTTGGGAGACTAAGGCAGGAGGACCATTTGAACTCTGGATTCCAAGGATGCCTGGGGAAAAAAGTCCCCAAACCAAAAAAGATCTATCTGGTAAAATGTCAATAGCTATCTTCTGTATGTGAAAGAAGAGTGATTCTGGAGATAGAACCCAGGTCCTTATGCATGCTAAGCAAGTTCTCCGCTACCCTAGTTAATGGCTCTTAAATCAATGATTCTGTATCATGAAGTCACCTGAGGAGCCTTGTGGAGAATATATGCAGACCAATTAAATCAGAATCTTTGGGGATGAAACCTAGACATCAGGATTTTTTTTTAAAAGCTATCAGCTGATTCTACAAGATCCCAAGATGAAAACCAGCTAAGCTATGCCTAAGAATATGGGTGTGTATTGTACAATTTTTTTTTTTCGAGACAGGGTTTCTCTGTGGCTTTGGAGCCTGTCCTGGAACTAGCTCTTGTAGACCAGGCTGGTCTCAAACTCCCAGAGATCCGCCTGCCTCTGCCTCCCTAGTGCTGGGATTAAAGGCGTAAGCCACCACCGCCCGGCTTGTACAATTTTTTGTAT